AATTATCATTTGGTCGTAATGAAAGAAACTTATCATGAATTATGAATTAGGCATACTTAATTGCCATTTGGTCGAAATATAAAATTTAACAAAAATCATGGGTTATAATTGCAAATTTTGATGTATGCATAATTAATGTACGTTTTGTCAAAACGAACAAAAGTTATAAAAATAGTGGGTTATATCACTTGAAAATCATGGATATTGAACTATATGTACTCAATTATCATTGGTCAAAATGAATGAAAATGATTCAAATCGTGGGTCATAACTCATAAAAATCTCAAATTTTTATATATACTTAAATTCTATTTGGTCGAAATGAACAAAAATTGCATTAATCGTCGGTTGTAGGACATGAAATTCTTGAGTTTTGAATTATACATACTTAATTGCCATTTGGACGAAATGGACGAAATTTGACAAAAATCATGTGTTATAGCCTATAAAAATCACAAATATTGATATACATATAGTTAATGTTCATTTTGTCAAAACGAATAAAAATTAAAAAAATCATGGGTTATATAGCTCATGAAAATCATGAATTTTGACAAAAATCATGAATTTTGACCTACATGTAACTAATTGTAATTTGGTCGAAAATGAATGAAATTTGATTAAAATGTGGGTTATAGCACATGAAATCATAAATTTTTATATGCTTATACTTAATCTCTATTTGGTTTAAACTAGCACTAATTGCAAAAAACGTGGTTTATTTAGACCATGAAAATCATGCATGTTGAATTATGCGTACTTAATTGCCATTTCGTTGAAGAAAATAACATTTGATAGAAATCATGCGTTATATAGCCCATGAAAATCATAATTTTTGAAGTATGTGTATTTAATTATCATTTGGACGAAATAAACGAAATTTGACAAAATCGTGGTTACAACCCATAAAAATCACAAAAAAGAATAAATTTTGACAAAAATCATGGTTTGTAGGACATGAAACTCATTAATTTTGAAATATACGCACTTAATTGCCATTTGGACGAAAAAATTAAGATTTGACAAAAATCGTGAGTTATAGCCCATGAAAATCACAAATATTGATGTATATATAGTTAATAGCCTAAGTTGTATGGAAACGGGTACGGGTACTGGTACAGGTGCGGGTGCAGGTACAGGACACGAAAAAACTGTAAAATGTAGGGTACGAGGACACGACTACATATATATATTGAATTAATACTGTACATAAGATAAATTTTTTCCCCTTCATGTGTCATTAGAATTAAAATTCCGATCACATTTTTGAGTTTTTTTATCATATTGATTATCGTGAATTGTAAACTACTCATTTTTTTTACTAGACATCTAAACAACCCATTAACTACATAGTTTTAAACTTGGGTATGGACTGAAACGAATCCGACCCGTATCTCATTAGTTTCAAAAGACGGATGTGAAATGTAAGATTTACGTCTAAGAAGTCTTTGACAAGTGTTTTAAATTAACACATATCGTATAATTGAGTACATGTTGTAATAAATGCATGCATATATTCAAGAAGTGTTCATGAAGTTGGGGTACGGGAAAGTGTCGGGTACGTGTCCGGTACGGGTAAGGCTTCATTGTAGAAGTACCCGGGTAACATAGTTAATATCCATTTTGTCAAAACGAACAAAATTGCAAAAATTATGGCTATAGCCTATGAAAATCATGAATTTTGATTGACATGTACTTAATTGTGATTTGGTCGAAATGAACGAAAATTGACAAATTGTGGGTTATAGCCTATGAAAATCATAAATTTTTATGTGCTCATACTCAGGGCGTATTTAGCAACTGGAAAGTAAATAGAAAGTACTAATGTAGAAAGTACTTTCTCTCCACTTTCGATTAGCAAACATTGTTTGGCAATCGGAAAGTGAAAATATGAAAAATTGAGGTGGAGCTGACATGACATTAGTTTTCTTTGTATATATATTTGGTCTATATGGAAATTGATTAATTCTCTAAATAATTTATGAAAAAGAAATATCACTGTGCATATCCAAAGTTTTACATGATTAAAATCTTAGCTACACTTAACCATCTTCAAGTTTTAACTAGGTTCACGGTCATTTTGTTTAACCACTGCACAACTGGTGATTTTGGCATTCAATTACTTATACGCATGAAGTATTCAAGAAGTATATTAGACATACTCAGATGATTATTTCAAAAACATAAATTTTGCAATTTATAAATTGTTCAACGGCCAGGACATATTCAACATTGACACAAGTTAGATAAATATAAGATTTGAATTATTTTTTTTCCTTTATATAATCCGAAGATACCTACCAATTGCTAACAATAAAGCAAAAACGTTTTCCTCCGTCAATAAATTAAAAAAAGTATGTAATTGACATTTCTCAATTTATGATTAGTATATAGTCAATATTATTTTAATGCTTTCCTAGTGCTTCAATGGTGTTTTAATTGATCTAATATTGTAAATTAAATTTGTGTTATCTAAATGTAAGAGCATGGCTTGTCAACTTATAGATCACAACCAAAAGTCATAAATATGTTTAGGAAGGTGTATATCGATACAAATCATGTATAAGAAGACTTTCTGTTTACTTTCCAATCACTTCACCAAGTGCCAAACAAAGAAAAAAATAGAAAGTGGAGCGTCTTTCCATTATTTGGTCCACTTTCTATTTACTTTCCGATTGCCAAACATGCTCTTAATTTCTATTTGGTTTAACCTAGCACCAATTGCAAAAATCGAGTTTAGCCCATGAAAATCAAGAATTCTGAACTATGTATACTTAATTGCCTTTGGTTGAAATGTTAAAAATTCTACAAAAGTCATGTGTTATAGCTCATGAATCATAGCCCATAAAAATCATAATTTTTGAACGATGTGTACTTAATTGTCATTTGATTAAAAGGAACGAAATTTAACAAAATCCTAGGTTATAGCCCTTAAAAATCATGAATTTGAACTATGCATACTTAGTTGACATTTGGTTGTAAATGAATGAAATTTAACAAAAATCACGGGTGCCCATGAATATCGCATATTTAGATGTACACATAGTTAGTTTCTATCTAGTCAAAACGAACAAAAATTACAAAAATCATGGATTCCCATGAAAGTCATGTATTTTGAACTATGTGTAATTAATTACCATTTTGTCAAAATAAGTGCAATTTGGAAAAAAATCGTGGGTTATATAGCCCATAAAAATCACAAACATAAATGTCCACTTAGTTAATGTACATTTGGTCGAAACGAACAAAAATGACAAAAATTATGGATTATATATAGCCCATGAAAATAATGACTTTTGAACTACATGTAATTAGTTCATTTGGATGTAGTGGATGAAAATACTAAAATCATGGATTATAGCCCATGAACATCGTAAATTTTTGTGTAATCGTAAATAATTTTCATTTGGTGGAAACCAACACAAATTACAAAATTGTCGGTTATATACCATGAAAATTATGAATTTTGAACTACGTGTAGTTAATTGCCATTTGGTTAAAATAAAGAATATTTGACAAAAATCATGGATTATAGCCCATGAAAATCACAAACTTTGATGTACACATGTATTTGCATTCAGTCGAAACAAAGAAAAGTTGCAAATTTCGTGGGTTATAGTCCATAAAAATCATGAATTTTGAACTATGCATATTTAATTGTTATTTGGTCAAAATAAATAAAATTGGATAAAATGTGTGGGTTATAGCCCATAAAATGAACTATGCGTACTTGATTGCTATTTGGTCAAAATGAACGAAGTTTAACAAAAATCATGAGTTAGCCCATGACCATCACAAATTTTGATATAAATATTCTTAATCTTCATTCAATCGAAACTTACAAAAATTGCAAAATTCATGGGTTATATCCCATGAAAATTAAGAATTTTGAATTTTGCGTGCTTAACTGCCATTTTTCAAAATGAATGAAATTTGACAAAAATCGTGGGTTATATAGCCCCTATTTTTGTTCACTTCGACCCAATGAGAATTGAGTATGAATACTTCACTATTATTTGCAATTTCTACGGGTTGTAACCCACAAGTCGTCCATTTTTGTTTGTTTTGATCCCATGAAACTTAATCAAAAATATTTTAAAATTTGCGATTCATGGGTTATATAACCAACGTTTTTTTGTTCATTTTTGTTTGTTTCGACCTAATGTCGATTAAGTGTGCATATTTTAAAATTCACAATTTGCATGAGTTAGCTCACAACTCTCTCATTTTCAGTCATTTCGACCTGACGACAATTAAGTACGCTAATTTCAAAACCACGATTTCTTGTTCGTTTTCATTCATTGTGACCCCAATGATGATTAATTTTATGTATTTCAAATTTGTGATTTTCATAGGCTATAATCTACTATTTTAATACAATTTCATTCCTTCTAATCTAGTAGAAATTAAGTACACGTATTCAAAGTTCGCGATTTCATGGGCACATAATTTTTGTTCATTTTTATCTGCATTGACCAATTAGCAATTAAGTACATGTACTTCAAAATTGACAGTTTCAATGAGCTATAACCCACGTTTTTGGCTATTTTGTTCTTTTCGAATAAACAACAATTAAGTATGGTTATTGTAAATTGTTTGACTTTTATGGGTTCTAACCCATGATTTTTATCTTATTGTCGTTTGTTTCGACCCAATGTGTATTTTAAAATTTGAGATTTCAGGGGGTATAATTGATGATTTTTTTCCTTAAAATTTTGATCGTTTCGATCCAATGACAATTAAGTACGCGTGTTGTGATTTTCATGGGCTATAATCCATGATTTTTTTTCCATTTTCGTTTGTAAATTTTTGCTCCCACCCAATGGCAATTAAGTACACGATTTTAAAATCACGATGTTTGTACGTTTTCATTTGTTTCGATTCAATGATAATTGAATATGGATGTTTCAAAGTTCACAATTTAATTGGCTCTAACCACATTATTCATCTAATGTTTATCATTTTTGCCATGGAAGTAATTTACCAGTATTTTTTGCTAGTGTATTTTACCTGTCTTCGGCTTTATAGCTCCGCTGTGTTGGCCTTGTTGTCTTGGGCCTCACATGAAGAAGCTAACTAATTGAGAACCTAATATAGAGGCCCAATAGTGCAAAGTTAAATAGTGAGAGCATGAAATCTGCGCCTTTTTGCTTGGTGACTGAGATGTGATCAAGGTGGCTGTAAAACTCTCCAGGTAAAATAAAGTTCCATTTACCATTTTCCTTTTAATAATCTCTTCATTCTCTTTTTCCTTATAAAACCACGTCTTTTTGCCCTAACGATTCTGTTCCAATTCCTGCATTTCGTTTTGTTTTCTTACTGTTCTTCTGTTTAATTGGTTTTGTTGTCCTAAATTTATCATTTTCGACAATTTATTAGTTAATTGCAGCTAAAATTATTGTAGTAATATCAGTTAGAAGAAGAATCTTTTTGTCTAATCTGTGATGAAATTGGGTTTTACTTTTGGAGAAGAAACTTGGAGTATTGATGAAGTGCTAGCTTGCAATGGGGCTAAATAGTGGCAGTCTATTTAATTATCAATTAGATATGAGTTTATGGAAATTCTCTCTAAATCTTAAATCTGAATAAGATGGAAGTTGCTGCTTAAGAATTAAACAAATAAAAATTAATGGAAGTCTGTTCCTGAATTTAATCTAAAATTTATCTTGTTCTTGTTTTTGTTGTTGAAACCAGAACTATCTTACGTGGGTACTTCTATGATTAAGCCATACCCGTACTAGGTAAGTCTGCGACACTTTGTTGTACCCAAACTACATGAACACTTCTTGAATATGTGCATACATTTATTATAGCATGTACTCAATTATACAACATATGTTTTAATTTAAAACACTTGACAAACACTTCTTGGACATAAAACTTTCACTTCACATCCGTTTCTTGAAACTAGTTAGATATGGGTTGGGTGTCTAGTTAGAAAATGAGTAGTTTGCACTTTATAATAACCGATATGATAAAAGAAACTTGAAAATGTGATAGAAATTTTAATTCTAATGACATATAAAGGGGGAAAAATGATCTCATGTACATTATATATACATATATATATAGAGAGAGAGAGAGAGGGTATGCTTGGTATCAAGCATAAGTTTTTGTGCTTGGTAATAAGGTGGTATATTCCCTTCCACTCATTGAAATCAGGGTCCACATTCACATGGGTTAGAGAGTGGTTGAGAATTGGAATGAGTGGATGTGAATATGACACTTCACTACCAAGCACAAAATTTGTGCTTGGTACCAAGCATACCCATTTTTCTCATATATATATATATATATATATATATATATATATATATATATATATATATACACGTACACGTATATATATATATATATATATATATATATATATATATATATATATATATATATATA